AAGTTATTTATTAGATGCCTGAAACAAATTGAAATGTAAGTTATAGATGCTTGAAACAATTGAAATCACAAACTTAGGTTCAGTCTGTTACTATTATAAGCATTAAAAAATAACAAATTCCTATTATGGTTAAAAAAAAAAAAAATTTAACTTCACAACAAACAATATAAAGGCTAAAATCATGCATATAACATTGATCTGAATATCAATCCCAATGAATTTTCAGTAATAGATTTAAATAATAGATTTTAGAGTCCACAGGTAAAAGAGTAGACAATCAACACCATCTTGCCCTGTATTTTGTATGTTCATAAACTAATAAATAAAAAGCTCTTTCAAAAGGTGCAAGAGATGATAACTTTGTCTATTCTTAGCATAAGAAATCAGTTTCACAATATCCTCAAACATCATTCCAAAACAAGGTCCCCCTAAGCAAAACAGAACAAACATATTTTTCGAGACATCGGTTGTTAAAGTAGTAGAAAATCATTGTAATTCGTACACGACTAATCAAATGGCATACCAAAAGAATGTACAGATACAAGTTGAGTAAAATAATCAAAATAGCCCAAGAGATCTGAAACCCTTCATTCCATACATATTTAAGTGTCAACATTGTTTTCTCCAAAACTTCACAATTTGCTCTATTATGATCACTTCAGTTTGATCTTATACTTAATAGTTTATTCCCCTTCAAAAAATTTGGGAAGGATGAAAAACTGAGTTCTCACTAGGAGAAGATCGATCCTAGGTAAAACTTAATGACAAGAAAACCTAAAGGAAAATCTTATCATTGGACCTCAGGGGCTGACGTCGTAAAAGCCACTAACCACAAAACACCAAACAACACAATCCTCATAAGACAAGAAAAGAGAATTATATTACTTACACAAGATCACAAAGACAAATAAAAGGAAGCAATCCGAAATATGTAACTGGGCCAAACAACTTTCATAACTGTACACAACACAAACCCCACCAAAATCTTACCTAGCATCCATACCTACACATTTAATTAAGAATAAAATTAAATTCAGAAACTTACCACATCATAAGCATCCCACAGGGTCACATAACAAGCAACAAGATTTGTATACCTTTTGTCTCTCAAAGAATATCTGTCTCATACAACAAATCTAGTGATCAACAAAAAGCTTTTAGAAACATTGAAATTCGCAAATTAAACACACACGCAACAGAAAATAAACAAGAGTTCCCATCTCAAGCACTAATGATAGAGCTTCAACAAGGCTCCCAAATTTTAAAACAGAGATTACCTTCTCTTTCCTCTTAGCCATTTCAGTTCAACCTTCTTCTTCTAGGTTCACGAGGATCCCGAGGGAACACAGTGCTCCTTCTCCGAACAACAGCACCCAACGAAGAAGACGAAGAAGGGACCACCCCCACCCCCACAGGCGGGCCCACATCACCCATCTGCCCGTCCGGCCCCAAAGGCCTAGCAGCAAGAATACCGGCATCAACCGATGCCTCGCCTCTCAAAACCCGATTATTAATAACCGACTCGAGGTCCTCCACTAACCTCTCTGCATTACTGAGAGCGGACGAGAGAGAAGATAGAGAGGCGGCACTTTCTGATAAAACTCGTGAGACTTGATGGATTCTTATCCGGTGGTCCCCACCACCCGCGTGCTGCTGGGCCGTGTGAATCCCCATGGCACCAATACTAATCCTGATCCTTCTAAGTGCCTCAGCAACTGGCACGTGAGATAAACCCTGAGTTACCCGCTGTTGCCTCACACTCTCGACTCTACGGGCCTTAGGCCTCGGAGGTATCTGCAGGCCCGATTCAGTCACACAGATATTTTCACCGTCTCCATTGCCGTAAATCGGGATTACGGTGCTGTCGGATACTTCCCCTTTACAGACAGGGCATTCTTTAGAATCCGACGAATCCACGCTCGACACTTGGTAGAAACACGGCCAGCAGAACAAGTGGCCACAACACGTGAGGACGGGCTCTTGAGCCAAGTCCAGGCATATGTTACAGTCGTAAAAGCTTCCACCTTCCTTATCGGACTTCTTCACCTCAACATCCATATCCAGAGCTTTCGCCACCAGATGTGAGCTGTCCCTTTTGCAACCCTTTCCTGGGGTGCTACTTCCGGACGGGCCGCCGTTGTTAGGGACGAGGCTTCTGGGGCTGAGATCAGCCGTGGGCCCGCCAATCTCCATGGAATTTCTTGCCTGCCGCCACCTCTGGCGCTGTCTGGCTCGGGCAGTGACAGCCTCCAGCTGGCGAATCCTCTCCTCTATCTGGTCGTGGGCAGTTTCGAGCTCGTTCAGAAGGGACCCGTATCTGGGGACCCGGTGCAAAGGCTGGTTGGACGGTTCTTGGTTCAAATCGAGACCCGTCAGGTTCACCTCCATGAAATCGTCGTCATCCATGGTCGGTAAACGGTACTTAAAACCCAAACTTTATGCCACCAGAAAAATTCCAATACCGATCAGTTGCAGAACACTTATCACACCAAAAAATCGAACTTCTTGAGGTGGGTCAAGGGAGTAAGTAGGTAAATCGAAGCTCGAATCAACAAAGATGGGGACTTTCTCAACCCCAAAATTGAAACAACAATTGAACTTCTTGAGGTGGGTCAAGTTACGAGATCGGTAAATCGAACCTCAAATCAAGAAAGATTAGGGCTTTTTGAAGCCCGAAATTGAAATGAGGGATTCTGGGTGTGCGCAGACATTTGGGGATCTGAGATTCAGAATCGAAAGCAAAAGATTAACGAACTAATTCATGTGCAAATGAACAGGTGAAGAACGAAGACTAGAGCAAATTGAAGCTAACCTGCAAAGAGTGATGGGATTGTTATCTCCATGGCTGCCGTTTAACAGATCTTCGAGCACCTGAATATGGCCTTGGGATTAGGATAATTCTTAGAGAGAGACAGTGTGTGGAGCGCCAAAGGGCAAAAAAGAGGAAAGGAGCATTGATTAGCCTTTAAGGGTTAGTCAAATTTGGCGCATTGTATGTATTTATGGAGTTGCAGTCGTTTTTGCTGTGCTATTTACACGATGCTGTTGGTGAAGCCATTGAGTAGGCATAATTCTTTCTTTTTATTAATGATGGTACTAATTGTTCAATAATTAGACATGCATACACATTCTTAGACAAAAATGTCATATTTTGAAAAATAATTGCATAAATATACATTTTATTGAAAATATATTATTGTTTAACTGTTAGAAAGCTTAGTAGCAAAAATTATCTACTTTTTTTTTCTAACCAAAATGCATTACTTTACTATAAAATATTATAATTTTATTTATACTATTTTTTTAAAGCATGACATTTAAGTATGAAAATATGAATTTAATAAATACTCCCTCCATTTTGAAATATAAGGCGTTTAAGGTTTTGCACAAATATTAAGGAGACATTAATTAATAAGTAAATTGACTAAACTAACCTTATTTATTGAAAATCACTATGTATTTATTGTTATGGTTGAAGCTATAAATGAGGGTATATTTGACAGAAAATAGAATAATTTGTCTTGGTTTTGATGTGCACCTTATATTTCAAAAAAATTGAGAATTCCTTATATGCCTTATATTTCAAAATGGAGGGAGTGGTGTCTAAATAAGTTGTCTAACATTAGTGTTGTATTTATACAATACAGTTTGCATAGACTTCTATGACATTTGAATTTATTCTGGTATGACTATAACAAATTTTCATGACCAAATCTAAGCAACCAATTTATATATGAATATATATAACATTGGATGATACTTATGTCTTGATTAAACATTCCTTCATCATAATTAAATTGACATTCATTCAAGCTTGAACTTGGCTCGTTCAGTCGTTCTACCAAATGAACCCAGCCGAGCTCACGAGTTTAACATTTCCAGTCATAGCAAGATAATTACATCTTTTCAGATGCAATTGATGCCAAGAAAGATCTAAAGCAATCAATCACCTATCACTACAATACGCGATTACGGAACAAAAAGTGATGAGAGAAGTATTCATTGTTCAATAATCGAGTTCCAACAAACTAAGCCTACAAACATAATTGAGCTTTGGTTTCATTTCAAGGGAGGTGGATTAACTATCAAGCCAAAGATCCACAATACAATGGATCCAATGATCCAACATACGAACAAGAAAACTAACACGCCAGCCAAAATGGTGAGGAAAGGAGGTCCCGAAGCATCACTGCTCGTTTTTGTGTCGTTCGATTCCTGTGAAGGATTCGTATTCGATGCAAAACAGAGACCAAACCTGTTCTTCTTCACTAGCACAACAATTTCTTCCCTTTTTAACCTGAAGGCACCAAATCGCAAAAGCTCATCCGCTTTAGTCAAATAAGGGCATCATATCTTTTTTTTTTTGGTACGAAGGGCATCATATCTTGAACAAACTTTTTAACTAAGAAAATTTCAGTTCATTCAAAATGATGCTTAAAAAATTATGACCCAAATTACTCTTTACACAGTTAAGTTCGTTCGAGCTTGATTCGTGAACACAATTAAGCAAAAATGGACACAAGTTTCAGCTAGACTAATAAGTAACATAATAATATAAAAGGTTTAAAAGTATCAAGCTACTCGAACTCGATTCGTTCATGCCAGATTAAAGCTCGTTTGAGCTTAGTCGGAACTCATAACCAAACCGGCTCGATTGGCCGACAGTTTGACACATTCGTTTCCACAAGTATCTCATTTTTCATTTCTCAAATGCAATTAAACTATTTTCAGCTCAACTGCTCAGAAGAAAAAAGGGGGAAAAAATCAAAATAAAATGGCAGATACAAACATTTCTATGTAATCATTGTCAAAAAGAACAACAAACTGAACACAGACCAAAAGAGGTCACTAATTAGTAAATATTTAGGAAAATAGAGCTCTTAAGCTTCTAATTTGCAGTCTAATGGAACAATCACACAATCCATGGACTAGACAAACGCCGCCTCAATTTTGGAGGGTGAATATAAGAAAATTTATGTGAAAATGTACCTGAAATTTAGATGAGGTCGTCGATTAAAGGTGGCCGGAGTTGTGAAGGCGCTGGATTGGGAGTGAACTCCGGCTGAGGGACGGCGGCGGAGGGCGGCGATTGAGTGCGGCGCAGGTGTACAAGTAGTCAGTGAGGCCATACTGGCGCTGTGCAATGTGGAGGAAAGAAAGAAGAATATAAAAATATAAAATGAAATATTTTTGGTAGGATATTTGATGTGTGGCTGTTTCAATGTAACCATGTGTTGGGTGCAAGTCTCACAAAGTCTTGTAGTTAGTCTGACTTGCTATATTTTTATAACAAAAAAATATACATTTATATTTATTAAATACTTTTTATTTATGTTATTTTTTAAAGTATGACATTTTTATAACAAAAAAATAAAATACAAATTTACCATACTTTTACTAGCTACCGCTCTTATTACAAGGCTTTTACTAACTGCTTCATTTAATTATTTCCTTTTGGAGCTTTGATTTATTTATTTATATTTAATTTCATGAAAATTATTATGAAAAGTAATCTTACTATAAATATGCATTCTGTGCAAGGTAAGAAAAGAGAAAAAAAAAATAAAAATAAAAATAAAAAGTGGAGTTGTACGATTTTTTTCCTTCTAAATATTTGAGGCTCAACTCAAGTGATTTTGTTCGATACTTGTAGGCAGGGTATGAACGGTCAATAATTGTTCATTGAAGACAATTGTTCATTGAAGACAATCATTGTATGGACAATTGCACACTAAAAATTGAATTTGCACCCAAATACTTTGGGTAAATGTGAATCACAGTCAATGAAATAAAGCTGTTTACTGGTAACACCTTGATGCCACAACCTCAAATTACTCCGCAGAAAAAAGTAATAGTAATATTTGTTTTTCTCAGGCTATTTATTATTAAGAAACCCTTTCAAGGCGACCTATATCTTTGTGGAACTTCAAGACGAAGCTGCTTTTTTGCAGTGATTTTCAAGCCATTCCATGGTAACACTCTTTGGCCTCTCGAGTGGTAGCCCGAGAGCTCGATCCCATATAAGCTAAATCAACAGAA